TCTTTCACCATACAGACTTGAGACATTATTAACATTATTAATTGTATTCCCCATGCTGTACATTACACTCCTATGATTTATTTATTCTGTAACTGTAAGTTTGTACTTTTTAATCCCTTCATCTACTTCACTCACCACCACCCCCACACTGGCAACTAACACACTTGTTCTCTGTATCTATGAGTCTAGGTCAAGGTTTTTGTTTTTGTTTTTGTTTTTTTTTTGATTCAACCTATAAGTGAAATCAATGCAATATTATTCTTTTTCTACCTGACTTATTTCACTAAGCATAGTATCATCAAGGTCCATCAATGTCATTGCAAGTGGCAATAATTTTATTCTTTTTATACTGAGCATATATGTATATATATATATACTCTCTCTATATATATACACTATATATATACACTATATATATACTATATATGGATACTATATATGGATATACTATATGTGAACATACTATATATATCCCACATCTTCTTTATTCATTCATCCATTGATGGACACTTAAAGTTGTTTTCATATCTTTGCTATTGTAAATAATGCTGCAATGAACATAGAGGTGCACATATTTTTTCAAATGTGTTTTGTTTTCTTCAGATACATATCCAGTAGTGGAATTGTTGGATTATATTCTAGCTCTAATTTTTTTATTTGTTAGTTTGTTTACTTATAGAAAGGTAGAGAGAGAGAGGTAGGGGGCAGGGGCAGAGGGAAAGGGAGAGAGAATCTTAAGCAGGCTCCATGCCCAATGTGGAGCCAGAGATTGGGCTTCATCTTGCAACCTGAGATCATGACCTGAGCCAAAAACAAGAGTCAGGCACTTAACTGAGCCACCCAGGTGCCCAATATAACTCTATTTTTATTTTCTGAGGAAGCTTTTTATTGTTTTCTATAGTGTATGTAGCAGTTTACGTTCCCACCAACAGTGCATTATGGTTTTCCTTTCTTCACATGCTGCCAATACTTGTTCCTTGTTTTGTTTAGTTTAGTTTTGAGAATAGTCATTGTGATAGGTGTGTGGTAAATCTCCGGGTGAGGTATTTCCCTGATGATGAGTGATGTTGAGCATCTTTTCATGTGTCTGTTGCCCATCTCTGTGTCTTTGGAAAAATATCTATTCAGATCTGCCCATCTTTAATGGGATTTGTGCTGTTGTTATTATATTATAAGGATACTTTTATACTTTGGACATTAACCTCTTATCAGATAGTTTACAAATGTCTTTTCCCATTTAGTAGGTTGCCTTTTCATTTTGTTGATTGTTTCCTTCTTTATGAAGAAACATTTTTAGGCTAAGTTGTGTCATTTGTTTATTTTTGCTTCTGTTTCCTTTGCCTTTGGAGTCAGAACCAAAAAAGAAAAAAAATTGCTAAGAGCACTCTCAGAGCACCTATGTTTTCTTCTGGGAGTTTTATGGTTTCAGATCTCACATTCTTTAATCCATTTTGAGTTAATTTTTGAAAGGTGTAGGAAAGTGGTCCAGTTTCAGTCTTTTGCATGTAGCTGTTCAGTTTTCCCAACACCTTTTATTAAGAGATCATTCTTTCCTCATTGTATATTTTTGTTTCCTTTGTTGTAATTTAACTGATCACATATAGTGGGTTTATTTTGGGGCTTTCTTGTTCTATTGATCTATATATCTTTTGTTATGACAATGCCATACTCTTTTAATTAATATAGGTTTGTAGTGTAGTTTGAAATCAGACTCTGGCTTGTTCTTTTTTCTCAAAACTGTTTTGTCTGTCTGGGGTCTTTTGTGGTTACATACAAATTTTTAAATTATTCGTTCTAGTTGTGTGAAAAATGTCATTACAAGTTTAATAAGGGTTGCATTGAATCTATAATTTGCTTTGGATAGTATGGACATTTTAAAAATATTGGTTATTCCTTTTGTTTTTAAAGATTTTATTTATTTATTTATGAGAGACACACAGAGAGAGGCAGAGACACAGTCAGAGGGGGTAGCAGGCTCCCTGCAGGGAGCCTGATGCGGAATGTGATTCCCTTGATCACGAACTGAGCTGAAGGCAGATGCTCAACCACTGAGCCACCCAGGTGCCCAATATTGTTTCTTCCAATCCAGGAGCATGGAATATCTTTCCACTTATTTGTGTCATTTTCAATTTCTTTTATAAATGTCTTACAGTTTATATCATACAGACAATATGTAGAAATGTCTCTCTCTCTTGACATATTCAACTATTCTATGTCTTTTGATTAAATAAGTTTGTTCATTTGTATTTATGTATTTTTTAAAAGATTTTATTTATTTATTCATGACACACACATGCACACACACACATACAGAGAGAGAGAGAGAGAGAGAGAGAGAGAGCTAGAGACACAGCCAGAGGGAGAACCTGGCTCCATGCAGGGACCCCGATGTGGGACTTGATTCCAGGACTCCAGGATCATGCCCTGCCTGAGCTGAAGGCAGACACTTAACTGCTGAGCCACCCAGTTGTCCCTGTTCATTTATATTTAAAGTAATTTTTGAAAGGTATATATTTACTGCCATTTTGTTCACTATTTTCTGCCTATACTTGTAGTTCTCCTCTGTTCCTTTCTTATTTCTTACTTCCCTTGTCATTTGGTAACTTTCTTTAGTTTTAACTTGAGATTCCTTTCTAATTTTCTTTTGTATACTTACAGTAAGTTTTCACTTTGTTGTTACCATGAGATTTACATTATCACCCTACATAAGTAATAGTCTATTTTGTTGATAGCAACTTAAATTTGAGCACATTCCCAAACTCTACATTTTTACTGTCTCCTCCAACATTTTATGTTTTTGCTGTCACTTTTGATATATTTTTATATTATATGTTTTGATATATTTTTATATTATATGTATATATTATAAACATTATATTATATGTTTTATATTATATGTTTATATGTTGTTATATTATATATAATATATATATTATATATAATATATATTATATTATATATTGTAGTTTTAGTTAATTTTACTACTTCTGTCTTTTAATCTTCTTAGTAGTTTTATAAGTGATTAATCTTCTGCCTTTACTATATATTTACCTTTTCCAGTGATATTTTTACTTCCATATATTCTCTTGTTATTAATTAGTGCCATTTCTCCTCAGCTTAAAGAAGTTCCTTAAGTGATAAAGTACTTCAGCTTTTGCTTATCTGACAAACTCTATCTCTTCTTCAAATTTGAATGATAATCTTGCTAGGTAGAGTATTCTTGGTTGGAAGTATTTTTTTTCCCCCTTGAGCACTTTTAATAGTCATGTCCTCCCTTCTAGCTTACAGAGTTTTTGCTGAACAATATTCTGATAGCTTTATGGAGTTGTCCATGTAAATAGCAATTTGTTTTTCTCTTCCTGATTTTAAGACTCTCTCTTTATCTTTAACTTTTGATATTTTAATTATGATGCATCTTGGTGTGGCTCTCTTTGGGTTTATTTTATTTTGAAACTTGGGGATTCCTGGATCTGGATATCTGTTTCCTTCCCTAGGTTAGGGAAGTTTTCAGTCATTATTTCTTTACATAAGTTTTCTACCCTTCCTTTCTTTCTTCCACTTCTGGGACCCTTATGTTGTAAACATTATTCTGCATAATGTTGTCCCAGAGGTTCCTTAATTATACCCATTTTTAAAAATTCTTTTTTTTTTAATCCCTCAAATTTAAACTCCAGGTTAAACAAATAGGCCTTTTTTTCAGAGGAAGACCTGGCTCATGTTTCAGTTTGCTATCTGTGCAGTGCCCTGGGGATGATGGCCTGGCAAAAAATAAGCAGTCCTTTAAATTGATGTGTGTCATAACTGGATTTTGTTCTTAAGGTAATCAAACTAGTCGATTTAATATTAAAGGAAGTAGCCTTGGGGCCCCTGGGTGGCTCAGTTTGTTAAGCATCTGACTCTTGGTTTTGGCTCAGGTCATGATCTTGGGATTGTGGGATCAAAGCCCACATCAGGCTCTGTGCTCAGTGCAGGGTTTGCTTGTCTTTCTTTCTCTCCCTCTGGTTCTCTCCTGATCTCTTTCTCTTTCTCTCAAATAAATAAATAAATAAATTAATTAATTAATTAATTAATTTGAGAAAAGTCTAAAGAAAAAAAGAAATGTATTAATAAAAGTATCTTATAATGCAAGCCATGCCTACTTTCCTCTTTCTGTAGACTAATGGTTTTCAAATGAATTTCTATTGGCAGCACTTTGCAATAAAATCTGACAAAAGAGGTATATCTCTATCTCTATCATCTCTATCTCTATCTAATATATATCATCTATTTATATCTATATAGATTGAAGTTGAACTGGTTTGGTGAATAAGGGAGGAAGAGCCCAGATAGGTTAGCTTTTCCCTCTCCCCACTCCCCACCATTGTAGGGCTCCTAAGAATTGTTGGTTGAACAGAGTTCAGTTTCTCCAATGGGACAATCACTTTGCTGGATCCATCATAATGGATCATATATTCTCTAATGTTCTACTCAATTAACTCCACAGACATTGTATGGTCCTGAGTTTAAATATGTTGTTGAGGAACTAAGAAACTATTAGTGGCAAGGCTAAAATGAAGTAGGCTGCCGAAGCAGAGAGAAGGAGGGAGCAAGAGTCCTAGGGACCTTTGATTCCTTTGCTACCGTATTCCTGAAATCCAGCTGCTTCTGTCTTCTCCATGGGCTGATTTTTCAAACTTTTTTCCAAATTCCTTTTTGCTGAAAGCTAGTTTAAGCTGCATTTTATTTACTTGCAACCAATAGTCCTGACTTAAATACCATGACCATGGTTATTTTTTTTAATTCCAACAACATTTATGAAATAATGCAAAATTGAACATGATCATCTCTCCCAAAGACATGATGATTTAGTGAGAGAATGGGGCATGTAAAGCAATGATTTCAGTGCAAAACCCATGGCTAACTATGCTTCTACAAGTAATTCTGGAGAAAAATGTCACTGAAACCAGATAAACCTTTCATCTGATATCTGCTAAAATACTTTATTTTTTTATTTCTTTAAGTTCACACATAAAGGCAGAAGTTTGATTGATCACTCAGTGGGGGAAAACTCAGCTGTGTGGAGAACTAAAGAAATTGAGGATTACTCAGAGGATGCATCTTACTTGGAGGAACTGGAGAAACACAGATTTTCAGTTTGGTAAGTAACTTACCCTATTTTCAAATTTAAATTAATTGAATTAAACAAGTCTTTATTCATCCTATGCTTTTATTATTCATTTATTCAACAAATATTGATCGTATGTCTATTGTAGTCTATATTATATGCACCCTGACTTGGGAAAGTTCAAAAAGGAATTGGATGCTTAAAAACATCAATGTGATCTGCTAGTGCTATATATATAATATGCAATATATCATATATATATATGATATATATTTTATATATATATATATATATATATATATATATATATATATAAAAGCACAAAGTGCCACAAGCACATTGAAAGGTTGATGGCCAAGTTTGCTCGAGAATGGAGAAAGACTCTCAGAAAAAGTTTGAGCCAAATCTTGAGGAGAGGAAGGCAGCATCTGGAGATGGCATTGGCAGGGTGGCTGGTGTGGAAAAGTGCTGTAAACCTGAATTCTTTTAAGATTCAAGCAGGTAATAGCTATTGCTCTCTTTCCCTGATGGTGTATATACAGGTATATTTGTCTCTCAAGCATACATATAATAAATATTTTTAAAAATACATAAAAGAGTGAACAATGGAGCCTCTTAGAGGTAATTATTATAGGATTTTGCAATGGTGGGATTCATCAAGGGTAGCAGGGAATTAATATGTAAGTGACAGGATGACATGTGGAGTAACCTAAGAAAGAAGAGACCTAGTAGCTGTTCAAAGTCATGGGGCTCCTGGGTGGTTCAATCAGTTAAGCATCTGTCCTGGGCTTGGGTCATGATCCCAGGTCCTAGGATAAAGCCCTGCATACGGCTCCTGTTCTGTGAGGAGTCTGCTTCTCCCTCTCCCCCTGCTTGTGCTCTTTCTCTCTCTCTCAAATAAATAAATAAACCAACCACACAAAGTCATCCATTCCAAACCACTACCTCTCTGTTTACTTCAAGATTTTTGCCCTGAATGGTTTTCCCAATGGGCAATTATCTACCTCACAACTTCATCCTAAAGAGCGTTCTTTTACTCCTCCATTCTGGAATCACCATCAGGAAAGCATAGTATCAACTCAAATTTCTCTTATCCAGTCACATTTTAAATAAGTTCTACTGGTTTTTAGTTAAATTTCAAAGTTTAAATGCTTTTCACCAAGGCTTTCCTGGAAGGGTTGAATTGTGGTCTCCAGGTTAACTAGTGAGTCATGCTCTGAATTAAGAGATGCAAGCCTGTGCCTCGGAAACATCATGCAGGAATGGGAGCCAAGGAGCCCAGAAGATGAAAAATATGTATACTTCTTCTAGAATGAAAAACAATATATAAGAAATACTCTAAGTCTAGACTAGGGATTGGCAAGTCCTAGGCAAAATTTGGGTCTCCATCTGTTTTTGTAAAAGAAAAAAAAGTCTAACTGGAACTGAGACACACCAGTTTGGTTACATATTGTCTTTGACTATTTTTTCTGTACAATAGGATAACTGAGCAGTTGAGGCAAAAGCACTATGACCCATAAAGTCTAGAATATTTACTATCTAGATTTTAGCCCAAAAGTTTTTCACCTTAGCTCTACACTGATGTAGATATTTTTCTCTTGCTCACTCATGACTCTCACATTATTTTTAAGATGTTTTTATGCTTGGGGCACCTGGGCAGCTTAGTCTGTTAAGCATCTAACTTCTGCTCAGCTCATGATCTCAGGGTCCTGGGATCAAGCCTCATGTTGGGCTCCGCAGGGAGTCCACTTGTCCCTCTCCCCCTCCCCCTGCTTGTGTGTGCTCATGCTCTCAAATGGGTAAATAATCTTTTTTTTTAGAAAAGGTATTTTATGCTTATTTCCTTTACCAGGTTTGAGCCCCTTATGTGTTTTGCTTATTCATTGTTGCATGACAAATCTCTGAAGGCTTAGTGCTTTGAAATACCAACCATTTTATTTGTTCACAATTCTGAGGGTTGAGAATTCGGGCAGGGACACATCATAGAAGGCTAGTCTCTGCTCCACCATGTCTGAAGCTTCAGCTCAGGTGGCTCACATGGCTGTCGTCTGGCTTGAATAGTTCAGTTGGGACCATACATGTGCGATCTTGGTTCCTGTTCTCACTTGAAGTTCTCACATTTCCACACGAGTCTTTGCTTGATGTTTGGGCTTCTTCTTACTATGGTGCCTGGAGTCCAAGTTGCATCCTTCCAAGCAGAGAAGGTGGAAACTGCAGATATCTCAAGGCCAAGCCTTAAAAGTTAAATGGTGACTTCCACTGTGTTCTACTGGTGAAGCAAGTCACATGGTCAGGCAGAGGTGGAGTAGATTCTACTTCTTAATGGGAGAGTGGAAAGGCACCATCGCAAAACAGCATGTTGGGTTGGAAGGTATTGTACAGACATCTTTAGAAACATAACCTACCACATTTTGCTTTATTTATTTCTGTGTGCACAGCTTCTAGCATAGGGTCAACAAGCGTTTGTTGAACAAAACAAACAAATTAATGGAAATGAAAGAGTATAGGTGTTATGGATAAATCTGAGGATGGATTCCAGTTTTGCCACTGCTTATAAACTTAAAAAATTTACTTAACTTCTCAGAAGATATTTTATCCTGTATGAGACTGGAATAATAATAATACCTGCACTTGGATGCTGTCGTTCTTGTGGAGGTTGAAGGATAATGTATAAAAATCTAGCATGTAAAAAAAATCTAGCATGTAGATTTTTTCATAAAAGCAACTAATATTATTAATATTAATAATAATAAAATTTGAGGAAAATATCTTTTCCAAAGGTTAGAATTGAGGCCAAAGGTCACACGGCATGATTTCTCATTTCTCACATCTGTCTTCCTTTCTGGTCTTCAAACACACCAAGCTCTTTGTCACATCAGGGACTTTACAGTTGATGCTTCCTGTGTCTGGAATGTTTTCCCAGTTCATAATAGTATAGTTAATGGCATATACTGCAGGCCTCGGCATCAACTTTATCTCCCCGGAGAGGCCTTTCCTGACTACCCTACATAAGGATGCACCAGCCCCTCTTCTGATTTTTTATTTTCTCCTCACCTTGTTTTCTTCTTTAAACTACTTACCTTGGTTTAAATTAATTTTTTTATAGTTATATCATTAATTTACTAATTTCTGTTTCTTTCACTAAACAGAAGCTGCAGGCAGGAAGGAACCCCTCTTATCTGATCACTCCTGGGTTTCCAGGCCCTGGTTCTAGAATACTTGGTTCATAATAGGCAGTCAGTAAATATTTACTGAATGAGTAAAAGGATGAATGAGTGATCTGTCATCATCTTCTTTTCTCTCTCTCTCCTAGCTCCCTTGGTTGTCATACCTATTTATTTACTTTCAATTTTTCCTTTTTTTGAAATTGCTACCATTAAAAAAAAAAGTAATATGGGATAATTAACCACTATAAACATTTCTTTTTAAACTGGGTTTGAGGATATGGGGGCTGCTGAGACCTCTATAAACTTGTGTTTTAACTGGTCTGAGATACAATCTGAACAATTTCCTTGATGTTTTATTAGAGCTGGTAAATCATTTATTGGGGCAGCCTTTACCTAAATCCTCTCCAAATCCCCATAAAATGCATTTAACACAGAATACTGTATAACCCAGCTTCAAAGATATATATGACATTGTATGAGAACTATTTGCTTCAGTGCAGCAAGTTTGAATGTGTGCATTTTCTTTCTCTATTTTTTACATGGCCTGTCTCACCCCCTTCCCTCCTTCTGCTGTGCCTCATTGTAACATGCTGATTTGGGTAAATTTGGTAGATTGTTAAGGCTTCAGTCAATCACACCTTCCAATAAAAAAAAAAAATGTGTAGACCTTTAGTTAGTCAAAAGCAAGTTTACCTTGTTTGTAGCTGTCAATTTTTTTTAAAGCCTCCAAAAAAATAAATAAAATAAAAAGCCTCCAAAATGTAAAACTATTACATTTTCTCAACCGAAAAGATATCTAACTGACTTGTCTCTGAGTGTGTAAAGGAGCAAGTATGACTTGGGCACACCTCACCCCAGTGGGCTTGCTGCCATGAGTGTTAGGTAAGCACAGGCGAGCGTCATCCAGGCTGTTCCTGATGGGTTTGCGTCTTTGGTATCTTTGCTGGGCCACGAGGCCTATACTGGCAGGAAGTTTACCTTTTTTTTCTTTGAGATATATGCTGGTGTGATGGAATGACTGTCTTCTGCTTATATTTTTAGATAACATGATATATCCAAGTGTTATCCCTCAATACTTTTGTACTACAAGATTTATGTCTGGCATCACTCATTTGGGTGCACAGTGGTTGGTCTGTTATATGCTCCCCTAACACCCTGCACATTTCCTTTGTGCCACTTGGCACATGGTGAGTGGGTGTTCCGTAGTCCTTTTCTCCCATTAGACTGGAAGTTTAACAAATTTCGCAAGGGTAGAGATTAAGTCTCTCATGTTCCTTCTGGTCTAGCCACAATGATTGATGAATTGCCAGCACTTAATATATATTTGTTGAGTTAGTACATGAAAAATAAGAATAAAATAAAAATATTGTCATTTCTGGGGTGCCCGAGTGGCTCCGTAGGTTAAGCATCTGACTCTTGATTTTAGCTCAGGTCATGATTTCAGAGTTGTGGGATCCAGCTGCATGCCTGGCTCCATGCTCAGGGAGGAATCTGCTTGAGATCCTCTCTCTCCCCTCCCTCTACCCATCCACTGGCTTGTGTGAGCATGCATGTGCTCTCTCTCTCAAATAAATAAATAAACCTTTTTTTAAAAGAGAAATTATGTTAGAAATGACAAGTATAATTGAGACTGTGTTGGGATACAATCATATGCATCCTTGAGAACATGCATTTCTGTTCGGGTTCCACTAAGAGCTTTATTTTTTTTATTCATTTCTTATTTGTTTGTTTGTTTGTTTGTTTATTTATTTATTTATTTGAGAGAGAGAGAGAGAGAGAGAGAGAGAGAGAGAGAACATGAACAGGAGAGAGGCATAGGGAGAGGGAAAGAAAGAATCTGAAGCAGGTTCCATGCCCAGTGCAGAG